TCGAGTAGGAAGCTGTTGCGCCTATTGCGAGAGACTACCCGGGTCATCCGGAGTGTTTAGGTAGCAGTGGGATGTACTAGATACCTCGTTCCCTCTTACACGGCCTAGTAACGTGCAGGCCCTGTACGATCGACCGAAGTGTGCAATTTTTGTCATCGGGAAAGATAAAAGATTGCTTTTAACTGACACAGTTGTCACTAGTAGTGATAAAACTCTAGCTGATTTCGTCTCACACAGCATTTTCCAGAGCATCAACTTTGTCAACACCAGCGAATTAACGCACGCTCAAAATGAACGGTTCTCGTGCCTCTAGCTGCGAGGACAGCCAGTTCGAAACCTTCGGAGTGGTACAAGCCGTTCGCAGCGCGTTTCATTCGGGTTCTCTCCGAGCCCCAACCTCTAAATGAGAGCTAAATATGTGACGGATGGCAATTTTCTGTAGGGAAGTTTCAAAGGCTTTGAAAAGAGGAGATGCGGAAAGTTAAGCAATAGATAAGAATGAAGTCAGGAACAGAAGATAAAGCCTCCGCAAAATGCAGCAGCTGAAGGATGTGAGCTCTGCAACGCTGTAACACTGAAAAATGTCCATTCGTTTGCTGAAGCGCTTGCGAAACAGATGCACAACAGCTCTCTCCTGGAAGGATTCCGAGGAACTCGCGAACATATGCTCAGCTGGCAGAGTGCACTGAAGAAGAGCAGCAGCTACAACAACCCTCGACAGTTCAGGCCTTCACTTTTCAATGCGATGTAACATTCGGAGGCAGCAGCTTGCCTGTATCCTGAAGCACTTGTATTGTTAGAGCAATGCCAAAATTGTGATAAAAAAATGTCAAGCAATTTTGACCGGAAACGTTGCATCAGTGATGCGAAAAGCATAAAAACCGATCGTGAGAAAGTACTTAAAAAAATACATCGCAGCAAGCACTCTTAACGAATTCGCAACAGTTCCTTGTCCTTTGCAGGCCTAATTGGCTTCTATGCCTTCCTATAACAAAGAAGAATTATTTAGCTTTTCACTCCCTCCTTTGGACACTTTGCTTAAAACCAGCAAAAGTGGCCTATCGGCGCCTGAAGTTTCATAACTTTTTTGCATTTGACACACAGGTGCGTCAGGACATTGGTTTATTTCGTCTAATAATTTAAAAAAGTTAATGGATGAAACTTGCATTTTTGTAGCAAGCGCTTCAAGGAAAACTTGGCAGAGATCAGTGACGTAACTGTTATGCTGCTAAAATAGTCACTGTGCAAAACAGTTCAAAAATGTCGAAGAAAGAAATCCTTTCAAACCGATTTCAGAATTCAAAAATGCATGTTTTCAATAATCTCAAACGAAGATGTGAGCCTTTTGCTTCTCGAGGTTCAGAAATGCAATTTCTTTTATAGCTTCAAAATAAATGCAGCCAACAGCATCTCTCTTTGGCTACGTAAGACAGTCGTTCCAATATGCGTTTTTGCTGCCTGTTGCAGCGCTCTAACGCTGCACGGCAAAAACGCATAAACCCAGGCTGGAACGCACCAGGCGGGCCGGTGCGATTATGCGTTTTTGCACTTTTCGTACCGCAGCAAGATCGCT